GACTACTGCACAAAACTATTCCTGTCTCTTCTTCTCTTCTCCGGCTGGTGGGGTGTAAGAGAGAGGACAGAGAGAGAGAGAGAGCGAGTGTGTGAGAGAGGTTTGGTGGGGGTGAAAGAGAGAATAGAGAGAGAGAATAGAGAGAGAGCGAGTGTGTGAGAGAGGTTTGGTGGGGGCGAAAGAGAGAGAGAGACAGAGAGAGAGAGAGAGAGAGAGAGAGAGTGTGTGTGTGTGTGTGCTTTTTCTATTTAAAAAAAAGTTAGTTGCATGTCCTTTACAGGAAAGTGGGAAACTAACCCATAATATAATTTTTTTCTTTTTTACTTTTCAGTAGTTTGCCATTGCCTACTAAACGGTCGACTCTTGATACTAATGTTGAAACCAACGTAAGGCTATCTGTTTCCACATCGCCCACAGCGGAGATAAAACCCCTCACTTCGGAATTACTAGGTGTGTTTGCGACCCCTAAGTCTTGACGTCAAAAGCTGGTGTAATAACCGGTATTGTTTTTGTAGAATGTTGTTCTTGGTGCTTTCCTTTCATCTAATGCTTAGGTTTCCCATTCCATGGGATCATTACATTTCTTTAGCGTGATTTTCTGTGGTACCACGGCATACCCATCAGACTGCAAAACTATAACAGACAAAGTGCAATAACATTTGTCGTGTTTCTATTATTTTGTCACAATCGACGTCTGCGTACATTAGGCATCCCCGTTCGTGCTCAGTCCTCCGATGCAGCAGCCACTCTAGGGTACCTCAACTGATTACTCCCATGAGGAGTTCGTTATAGTATCTCCTGACTTTACCTCGAAGACGTCATAGACGTGCTTCTCCAAGCCTAACTCCTTAGTCACACCGTCGTATTAGCGTCAGAGATTCGCTATTATCCCCGTACCCAGTCAGAACAGCGCTGATGATACTAGCTCTGTCCGTGCTTTTTCCCTTTTGCATTGGTTCATTGCCAGCTGGTCAGCTCTTTTATTACAATGTACTCCTGCGTGCCCAAATGTGAAGATCAAGATTATGTAGGTTAACTGCGACATCCAAATGCTTTCTACCCATTCGGAGTGTAGGCTATCTCTAGCGATTTTCTGAAGCATGTTCATAGAGTCCAAAACGATTACCTAATACAAGCTTATTCTGCTACCCGCGTGAATGCTCTGGACGCAGCAGTTATCTCCATGATCATGAATTAATTAAGTAACAGAAAGTGTATGGTCGGCACTCAAAGAAAGAAGTAGATAGATAGAAGAACACACTAGACAACATAAAAATCGAAAGCTATAGTTACCGTGCCGGGAATTGAATCTGTCACACCCAGACGGCGTCTGCGCCTCGCCATGAATACAAGTGCGCTAAGAACATGGTCAACCAGGCACCCCTAAAAAGGTGTCTTATTGGCCATGTCTATCGTACAACTTGAAATCCACAACTATGGAATACGGACAGAATTAATTTCAAACCATTTAAATGGCACCATAGGTTACAGAGATTTATATTAACGAAGCATATATCGAATAACAATCACAGAAACAATTTACGAACACAGTAGACTTTAATGCTTTGTCTACAATACACAAACATTTAAGAAAGGTATTTGATTAGTAGGTTCTGATGTGTATACGTCATTCCTATAAATAAACAGAGGGGGAACCTTTGAGGCTTTAAATATTATGAATTAATCAAGTAACAGAAAGTGTATTGATCGGCACTCATAGAAAGAAGTAGACAGATAGAAGAACACACTAGACAACATAAAAATCGAAAACTATAGTTACCGTGCCGGCATGGAGTGCGTCCTATCCTTTGTGCTGTGTATGACTATGCTGATCTTCATGAAACCTATCTGTAAAAATAACGACATCTTCTGGGCGTGAATGCTGATCAGTCAGTGCCCTAATCTCGGCGTCTATGATGGCGGGTATCTGACCCTTACAGTACCTCCCCAGTGTTCTAACAACCTTAGAAAGGCCATGAAGGTCTACAGGTGTATCTGTTCATTCCATTCCGTGACTGATCTTGTCTACATCACATACTTGATTGATAAGATTTTCTGGCCCGGCCATCCAAGAGGACCCTCTTTTAAGACGCATCCTTTTTATATCATTGATAGCGTTGTGCAATGGGTGGCTGATGCTTGCTGATATCCGATTTCATCTGTGTCTGGTGGCCATCGTCGGTAAACCCAGGACATACCTCATGGCGTGGCACGAATTGTCTTTTGTGTAGCCGAGTATGAGTCTCATGGCCAATCTGAGGAGCATGTTGTATGGAACGCTGTTGTACGCATCGTCTAAGTCAATGGCGGCTGTGCCAGTTTCCATTCCTGCTCTCATATGTGTCGTAATCAAATACAGCAGCTTTGCACCAGGTATCACTGCCCGGTCGGTACCCGCTTAGTTTAGGTGCCAGAAGACCACTACCTTACTTTAATTGTTGGGTCAACTTCCTGGCCACGATTTTTTTTAAATGACTTTTCCTGTGGTGTTCTTAAGTGCGATGATTCTATAGCCGTTTACTTTTTCAGGATCTTTCCTAGGCATATGAACGGGTCTGGGGTAGCTCTGGAGCCAATCATCGAATACGATGCTACTTTTCACTCTCCTGTTTTATGCCCTGTATAGTTCCATTGTGTTTGTTTTCTCGAAGCATTTTAAGTCACTGTGTCATATGCCATCGAGCCCTGCGGCTGTGACGGGACAGGTCTTCAGTATAGTTCCGATGTTTACAAAAGAGATGTATACTGTTTCGTCTTCCCTATTCATTTCAGCGATGTGGATGAAGGGGACTGTTTGTTTCATCTGTTTCCTCTTGTCTCTGTCTGTCTTTTCAGTTTACAGTAGAAATCTATAAAAGGAGCGCTTCAAATTTGTCTTTGTCAGACATTAAGATCACCAAACTGCCTATCTGTAATTCGGGCATATCACACGATTGTTTGCCGCGGTTCATACAGCGATGGAGTTGCCAGAATTTTGTGAATGAGCCTGTTTGATTACACAAATCTCGACGACTTTCTTCATTTCTCCCATTCGTTGGTCTCACTTCGTGTCTCTGTCCATAATTTGGAGAATTTAGGTGTCCACCATGGCGGTTGTTGATTCACATCTGACTCCCTTCCCGGTGTTTTACGTACCCTGTCTCGTAGAACGTCCAATTACATCAGACTGGTGTACCCCATATTTAAAAATTGCACCTGGTTTCTAAGATCTTGTACGTGTTGTTTTCTTGACCCAAATCGAGCTTGGAAGGTGGTCGCTTCCATGATGTCCCAGCACGCCCCACTGGCAGAGTGCACTCCTGCTGGAGCAGACCAGAGCGACATCAAGGGCACAGTCTGTATCAGCTTCTCTGTCAGGGATTCTGGTGGGTCTGCCATCATTTAAGCAGATCAACTCAATGTGTTTGTCAGTGCTGGTAAGACAACATCCGACAGTCCCTAACTGACAGAGGACTGGAATGGAACAAAGCCAGAAAGAAAACTGCGGATAGAGACGTCTGGCGATCTCTCTGGCAAACCTCTACATCCCAAGGTAGAAGAGGAGCGACTAAGTAAGTAAGTAAGTGTTTGTCAGTGCCTACTTCAATGCCTCAACCTGTTTGTTGCTTGTTGCGTTGCCAGATTGCTGATCCCTTGCGTTGAAATCACCACATATGATAGTTTTAGCGTTTCACTGATCGCATCTGTCAGGACTCTCCACTTCTCTTGGTCTACCTTATTTTTGCAGGCAAAAATGTTGACAATCACATTTGAAAGTTGGTGTTTTATAGGAACATTATTGGATGCCCAGTCGATAACATAATTAACTTGCATAATTGTTCAAAGTATACTTAAATTAATAACAACCTAGTACGTTCGACATGTCAGTGGACCTGATAATTGTTTTCATGCAACCTGTGATTTGTCTCCAGTTGACAAAACGTGTAGCGTATTGTTTACAATAAAGCACTAAAGAATGTTAACCCTGTTAGGCAAATATTTTGACCAAACCTATTAGTTAGCTAGCTAGCTATATCCCACAATAACACGCTGAGCACCATCCTGTGCTAAATATGTACCACACTGTTGCTACTGGGGCAGGAAACATATTTGTGCAACATAAACCCACCATCTTGGTAATGCGGGAGCGGTGCTCTTGAAGCATCATTAGCTTTCTGTGAGATTTCAAGATAGCTTCCAAGAAGCGTTTAGCGGTTAGCATGCTGCGTCATTGAGGTAAGTATCCTAGATCATATCTTGACAGCCGTTGACCTTACAACAACCGTGGCTTCTGGCAAACATAAGAAATAATAACTACATTACACGTACATTGAATGTTGTTACAAAAGAATACCAAACGTATTTTCTTTTTTAGATTCATATTTTTCAGATGTACACTTGGAGAATATTTCATATTGTTTGGCTTAGTTTTATTTATAGTATTTTATTGTTGGTTAATTTAATGCTTTGTTGTTTATATTCTTCCATTAATCTTATGCTTTGTAGCTTCAGATTCTTGCTTAAATATAAGATCTATTGTTGTAGGGTATTCGCTTAGATCGTGCAATTTTTGTTTAATGTGTTCTTGCTTTATGTCTACATTTTTTCTTTAAACATATTTTGTTTTTTTCAGTTTAGGATTTTTATGTGTCTGTGTGTGTTTTTATAAAAATTAGATCCTAGGTAATTTTTTTTCTTCACTTTTTGAACTTCTTGTTTAGTTTATAGTTTACTTTTAGGATTTCTGATTGATTCTCTGACTTCTGTTTCTGCGCTTTGTGATAGTTTCTTTTCATTCAATGTTTTACTTTCTTAGCTTTGCTTTTGCGTAGGGGCAACAGGTGAGAACATATATTGTAGTAACGGGTGAAAGTTGAAATTGACAATTACAATATTGCTTTACGTGAATAGTTTGGCATTGTTTTCTTTATTGTTTTGAATCAGTTTGCCCTTAACTGAGCCGTTGAAAATTGACTAACACAGAATTTAGGCTCGGCTCTTGAACCAAGTGTGCCTTTACTATGGAATTTCTACAGCAGAGTTGGATCAACTGTGTTCTTATCAGCTTTTTCATTTCAGATGTTCTCTGTGCTCTACGTAAGTACACTAATTTATTGACTATTTACATGAACTTCTTTTAATAATTGTTTGACAAGTTTACTAGTAACAAATCCAGTGCCTCGAGAAGTGATGTTGTTACGATTTATACATGGTTATTTTCCAGATTTTATAGAGTTTCAAATATTTAATTTATTTCATTAAAAAAACTGCCATCAGTTTGGCAAAAACTTAACAAATTCATCACCCATAAAGCAATTTGCGCTCTTTACCTTCATAATTTGTCCATTTGTTCATTATATGATTTGTACTTCTTATTTTTTTGTTCTCTTGAAATAGATTATCTATATCTACAATGTTGTCTCTACTGTGAACTTCACTGTCTTTTGTAATTCACTCTGCGATCCGTAAAGTGTGGCTTGGACCGGTGATGTGTACTATAATATTTTTTTTTTTTTACCAGTGTTTTTCATTTCTTTAGTCTTAATCAATTATAATGTTGTTTCAGTTTAAACACATATAAAATGAATTTAAAAGGAGTGAAGAAAAAACAAAAATGACTGGGAAACCATTAGTATCAACAGTTATAAGTCAGAGAAGATGGCTGGACAACCACTAGTATCAACAGTTATAAGGCAGAGAAGATGGCTGGACAACCACTAGTATCAACAGTTATAAGACGGGGAAGATGGTTGGACAACCACTAGTATCAACAGTTATTAGACAGAGAAGATGGCTGGACAACCACTAGTATCAACAGTTATAAGATGGAGAATATGGCTGGACAACCACTAGTATCAACAGTTATAAGACAGAGAAGATGGCTGGACAACCACTAGTATCAACAGTTATAAGACAGAGAAATGACTGGACAACCATTAGTATCAACAGTTATAAGACAGAGAAGATGGCTGGACAACCACTAGTATCAACAGTTATAAGATGGAGAAGATGGCTGGACAACCACTAGTATCAACAGTTATAAGACAGAGAAGATGGCTGGACAACCACTAATATCAACAGTTATAAGACAGAGAAGATGGCTGGACAACCACTAGTATCAACAGTTATAAGACAGAGAAGATGGCTGGACAACCACTAGTATCAACAGTTATAAGACAGAGAAGATGGCTGGGCAACCACTAGTATCAACAGTTATAAGACAGAGAAGATGGCTGGACAACCACTAGTATCAACAGTTATAAGATAGAGAAGATGACTGGACAACCACTAGTATCAACAGTTATAAGACAGAGAAGATGGCAGGACAACCACTAGTATCAACAGTTATAAGACAGAGAAGATGACTGGACAACAACTAGTATCAACAGTTATAAGACAGAGAAGATGACTGGACAACAACTAGTATCAACAGTTATAAGACAGAGAAGATGACTGGACAACCACTAGTATCAACAGTTATAAGACAGAGAAGATGGCTGGACAACCACTAGTATCAACAGTTATAAGACAGAGAAGATGGCTGGACAACCACTAGTATCAACAGTTATAAGACAGAGAAGATGACTGGACAACAACTAGTATCAACAGTTATAAAACAGAGAAGATGACTGGACAACCACTAGTATCAACAGTTATAAGACAGAGAAGATGGCTGGACAACCACTAGTATCAACAGTTATAAGACAGAGAAGATGGCTGGACAACCACTAGTATCAACAGTTATAAGACAGAGAAGATGGCAGGACAACCACTAGTATCAACAGTTATAAGACAGAGAAGATGGATGGACAACCACTAGTATCAACAGTTATAAGACAGAGAAGATGGCTGGACAACCACTAGTATCAACAGTTATAAGACAGAGAAGATGGCAGGACAACCACTAGTATCAACAGTTATAAGACAGAGAAGATGGCAGGACAACCACTAATATCAACAGTTATAAGACAGAGAAGATGGCAGGACAACCACTAATATCAACAGTTATAAGACAGAGAAGATGGCAGGACAACCACTAATATCAACAGTTATAAGACAGAGAAGATGGCAGGACAACCACTAGTATCAACAGGTATAAGACAGAGAAGATGGCAGGACAACCACTAGTATCAACAGTTATAAGACAGAGAAGATGGCAGGACAACCACTAGTATCAACAGTTATAAGACAGAGAAGATGGCAGGACAACCACTAGTATCAACAGTTATAAGACAGAGAAGATGGCAGGACAACCACTAGTATCAACAGTTATAAGACAGAGAAGATGGCAGGACAACCACTAATATCAACAGTTATAAGACAGAGAAGATGGCAGGACAACCACTAGTATCAACAGGTATAAGACAGAGAAGATGGCAGGACAACCACTAGTATCAACAGTTATAAGACAGAGAAGATGGCAGGACAACCACTAATATCAACAGGTATAAGACAGAGAAGATGGCAGGACAACCACTAGTATCAACAGGTATAAGACAGAGAAGATGGCAGGACAACCACTAGTATCAACAGTTATAAGACAGAGAAGATGGCAGGACAACCACTAGTATCAACAGTTATAAGACAGAGAAGATGGCAGGACAACCACTAGTATCAACAGTTATAAGACAGAGAAGATGGCAGGACAACCACTAATATCAACAGTTATAAGACAGAGAAAGATGGCAGGACAACCACTAGTATCAACAGGTATAAGACAGAGAAGATGGCAGGACAACCACTAGTATCAACAGTTATAAGACAGAGAAGATGGCAGGACAACCACTAATATCAACAGGTATAAGACAGAGAAGATGGCAGGACAACCACTAGTATCAACAGGTATAAGACAGAGAAGATGGCAGGACAACCACTAGTATCAACAGTTATAAGACAGAGAAGATGGCAGGACAACCACTAGTATCAACAGGTATAAGACAGAGAAGATGGCAGGACAACCACTAGTATCAACAGGTATAAGACAGAGAAGATGGCAGGACAACCACTAATATCAACAGGTATAAGACAGAGAAGATGGCAGGACAACCACTAGTATCAACAGTTATAAGACAGAGAAGATGGCAGGACAACCACTAGTATCAACAGGTATAAGACAGAGAAGATGGCAGGACAACCACTAATATCAACAGGTATAAGACAGAGAAGATGGCAGGACAACCACTAATATCAACAGGTATAAGACAGAGAAGATGGCAGGACAACCACTAGTATCAACAGTTATAAGACAGAGAAGATGGCAGGACAACCACTAGTATCAACAGTTATAAGACAGAGAAGATGGCTGGACAACCACTAATACCAACAGTTATAACACAGAAAAGATGACTGGACAACCACTAGTATCAACAGTTATAAGACAGAGAAGATGGCAGGACAACCACTAGTATCAACAGTTATAAGACAGAGAAGATGGCTGGACAACCACTAATACCAACAGTTATAACACAGAAAAGATGGCGCTTTACTGGACGCATTTATAGAGGATAATCAACAAACAGGCACTGAAAAGGGAAATACAGGCATCAATGAATTGAGGACGCAAAAAAGAAATCATAAAACGAACGTTGACGAGAGAGGCCAAAGCTGCTGGACTGGACTGCACCCAGGATGAATTAACTGGGTAGAACAGAATGAAGGATAGACTGCGAGCCCTGTATGAATGAATAAATAGATGAATCAATGAATCAATAAACGAATGAAGGAATGAACGAACAAATGAATGAATCAATGAATGAATCACTGAACGAATGAAGGAATTAACGAACAAATGAATTAATCAATGAATAAAGCAATGAACGAATGAAGGAATGAACGAACAAATGTATGAGTCAGTGAATAAATCAATGAACGAATGAAGGAATGAACGAACATATTAATGAATAAATGAATGAATCAATAAATGAATGAAGGAATGAACGAACAAATGAATGAATCAATTGTTGAATCAATGAACGAATTGAGGAATGAGCGAACAAATGAATGAATAAATAAATGAATTGATGAACGAATGAAGGAATTAACGAACAAATTAATGAATAAATGAATGAATCAATGAACGAATGAACGAATGAACGAACAAATAAATGAATAAATGAATGAATCAATGAAGGAATGAAGGAATGAACGAACAAATGAATGAATAAATGAATGAATCATTGATGGTGATTCATAGCAAGCAGCCTATCATCTCTGCCACAGTGGACTCTCGTACTCACACATCTAAGCACACACCGTTTAACAGAGGACTCACGCTAATGGAGTTGCTAGCATGCTCATCTGCCGGCCTAGTGATCATGTGTTCGAACCATTGTTGTACTGGGAATTTTGTTTTTAAAAATAATCTGAATGAAGGAATGAACGAACAAATGAATGAATCAATATATATATACTTGAAATTGTAATTAAAGATCCCCGGCTGGTGCCCTAAGGTCTCCGCTTGAAATTCACATTGGCGCCTTGTCAGCTCCGAGAAAAAAAAAAAATATTGAATCGGAATTAAAGATTTAAAAACAACGAATCGGCGATCTGGATTGTGACATGAAAGAAACGCTTTTAGTTGTATCAGGTCTACAAGTGAATCAACCGAGGTCGTAGAGTAAGCGATTTTAATATTTTTTGTTAGTTATGTACGCTCAGAAAGTTGTCAGGCGGACCGTCTTCTGTACAAATCATTATCAACCAACATATTCAGATCTGAAACATTTCATCTTCTACGTGGATTCTTCTTAAAAAACGAAATAGGGTCGGTAAAATTATTCAGTGATGTTGGAAGTCAAGGATGCGTCACAATGTTGCAATTCAATGATGCCTCACAATGTTGCAAGTCAAGGATGCGTCACAATGTTGCAAGTCAAGGATGCGTCACAATGTTGCAAGTCAAGAATGCCTCACAATGTTACAAGTCAAGGATGCCTCACAATGTTGCAAGTCAAGGATGTGTCACAATGTTGCAAGTCAAGGATGCGTCACAATGTTGCAAGTCAAGGAAGCGTCACAATGTTGCAAGTCAATTATGCGTCACAATGTTGCAAGTCAAGGATGCCTCACAATGTTGCAAGTCAAGGATGCGTCACAGTGTTGCAAGTCAAGGATGCGTCACAATGTTGCAAGTCAAGGATGCCTCACAATGTTGCAAGTCAAGGATGCCTCACAATGTTGCAAGTCAAGGATGCCTCACAATGTTGCAAGTCAAGGATGCCTCACAATGTTGCAAGTCAAGGATGCGTCACAATGTTGCAAGTCAAGGATGCCTCACAATGTTGCAAGTCAAGGATGCCTCACAATGTTGCAAGTCAAGGATGCGTCACAATGTTGCAAGTCAAGGACAATGTTGCAAGTCACAATGTTGCAAGTCAAGGATGCCTCACAATGTTGCAAGTCAAGGATGCCTCACAATGTTGCAAGTCAAGGATGCGTCACAATGTTGCAAGTCAATGATGCCTCACAATGTTGCAAGTCAATAATGCGTCATAATGTTGCAAGTCAATGATGCGTCACAATGTTGCAAGTCAAGGATGCGTCACAATGTTGCAAGTCAAGGATTCGTCACAATGTTGCAAGTCAAGGATGCGTCACAATGTTGCAAGTCAATGATGCCTCACAATGTTGCAAGTCAAGGATGCGTCACAATGTTGCAAGTCAAGGATGCGTCACAATGTTGCAAGTCAAGGATGCCTCACAATGTTGCAAGTCAAGGATGCGTGACAATGTTGAAACCACTGCTTAATTTCAAGATAGGATAAACATCTGTAGCAACATCAATGTGCGTTCATCGGCGTGTGTCTATACGCTAGTCTCGAAACAATCCCTTCTGAGCATATGATCGTGTTGAACGATACCTAAGAATATGAACTATAAAATTAAAATGTCTTAAAATATTGGCATCTTTCCTCTACACCGGACGATGATGTTATTTTGAACTATAATAACGCATACGAATCACTGCCCATAGCAATGGCGACTGTGCGACTAACACAGTGAGACACACTAACTATGCGTTTCATAATTAGAGCATGAGATTTCATCCATCAATTAAACCCACCTAGAATTCCATGAGCCCCTCTACCATCATCAAGTGTGGCCCAGCCACCTAATGTTTTCGGAGGCTGAGAAGGGAACGCTACGCAAAGGAAGAAGCCTTTTTGATGGACCCAAACGCTCAATGAGCGACCATTTGCAATGATAAAGACTGGGTGTGCAAACTGGCCTATATGGCCGACATGTTTAACAAAATGAACAACATTAATTCATCATTGCAAGAAAACACTTCCAGTTTTTCGTGCAACAATGAAGTTTTTTTTTTTTTTTTTTTTAAATAAACTGAATTTTTCTTGGGAAATGAAGATGCCGATTGTTTCCGTAATACTACACGATTCTTGGATTTAAATAACAACAAAAACAACAATAAAACATAAAAAAGTTCCGGGAAAAAATAAAATACTAAAAAAATTTAGGACATCTGAAAGCTGTGAAAGAATTATATGAACATTGTTTTACCACACTTTATAAGTTGTTTGATTATTGTTTAAGTGTTTTAATGGATACCTAATGTACTAAGTTCGGGGTGGGGGGGGGGGGGGGGGGGGGGGACTTTCAGTCTATCTTACTGTTAACTGAATTCAATGTCGTTAACAATTTCAAAACGAATTAAAAGCCAGTAAATTTTTTTTTTCAAAATATAAAGGCATTAACATAGATATTGCACAGTTGTTATAATATATCTTTATTTTCAGTTCTCGTATTATCGACCCCTCCACTCTGTACAATTCTTCCTCTTGTGTCAACTGTATTCTCTAGTTCCTTTCCCGGTGTGTTTTTTGGTCTGCCTTTATTTGTACGCTATTGTGGCGTGCAGTGTAAAGCACTTCTGAGTACATTGTTCTTAGATTTTCTTAACAGATGTCCTATCCAACACCATTACCTGCTCTTTACATAGTTTGTTTGGTTCTCTCTAAAGAAAAATATCAGTAATTCTGTCATAGCATCAAATGCATCTACTCTTCGCAAGCCCCAGCTAATCAATGTTTTTTGGTTTACTGGTTTTTATTTGTTCTTAAAAAAAAAAAGGTGAAGTCGGCAGATGTGAACCAGCGTTATTGCATACAGTTATAAACTAAGAAAGTTGTTGCAGGACAGAAATCAAAAAATCCTAAGATTATTGTCGGACAGAAAACAATACTCTCTGAAAATCCATGTAAGATACAAATCAATAGTTTGACAAGAGCATTGTAAGAACAAAATCAAAATCTTGAAAACACCATTATAAGATACAAACCAATAGCTTGACAAGAGCATTATAAGATACAAATCAATAGCTTGACAAGAGCATTATAAGATACAAATCAATAGCTTGACAAGAGCATTGTAAGATACAAATCAATAGCTTGACAAGAGCATTGTAAGATACAAATCAATAGCTTGACAAGAGCATTATAAGATACAAATCAATAGCTTGACAAGAGCATTGTAAGATACAAATCAATAGCTTGACAAGAGCATTATAAGATACAAATCAATAGCTTGACAAGAGCATTGTAAGATACAAATCAATAGCTTGACAAGAGCAATATATAAGATACAAACCAATAGCTTGACAAGAGCATTGTAAGATACCAATCAATAGCTTGACAAGAGCATTGTAAGATACAAATCAATAGCTTGACAAGAGCATTGTAAGATACAAATCAATAGCTTGACAAGAGCAATTTAGGATACAAATCAATAGCTTGACAAGAGCATTATAAGATACAAATCAATAGCTTGACAAGATCATTGTAAGATACAAATCAATAGCTTGACAAGATCATTGTAAGATACAAATCAAAAGCTTTGTTAGACAGCAGACGACACCATCTAGAACTCAGTGTCAAATAGCAATTCACTGCCTCTAACGATAAGTGAAAGACGTCAACAATCTGAAAAGACTCTTATTAGAAATCAATCTAAATTTCCTATAGATCATTATAAGATAGGAATCACTACCCTGAAAAGATCTTTGTAAAATGTGTGCCTTTCTAAGTAGGTTGTTATTGTCAATCCCTCCAGCTTGCGGTTATGTCAAGATATCTAATGGAAGTGCACGAGTAAAAAGCAATGGAAGGTACATTGAATTCAGATGTAAGCGTAATTTTCAACTAGTCGGCGTCAAGATTGCTGTTTGTCTTGCTTCAGGACAGTGGAGTAAAAACATTCCCTCGTGTGTAGGTAAGTATTTTTTACTGTGATATTGGTAGTTGATACATGTGCGTTAAATAATGGTCACTGTTTTATTTGCACAAATTCTTATTGGTTGAACATCAATGTAATAAAATGTGCAGAATGTAATCTATCTAAAACAACTATCACATTTCAGATGGACAGAACAATAGTGATAGTTGTCAGTTTAAATTTTATATAGCAACATGAAAGTTAGCAAGCAATAACACAACTAGTTTACAGATAGAAACTGTAACTGCTTTAATATTCATGAGAAACAGTGTTCATGCTTTGGGTGTTAATGAAAGAAAGTTTCAGTCGGCGCCCAGCTATCACTGCCGATACATGTGTGACTTCCAATGACCTATTGTCTTATGTACGATTCACTTTTAAAACAGGAGTGTGTAAACGAAGAAGGACAAAAGGTTTCTAGTCTCACTGTCGCTGACAAAATTATTTTCTCAAATCGTGGTCTTTTATAACCTTCACCAACAACCATGATTCGTTAGGCACTTCCGGAGAGTCCTGACTTGCAAACCTGTCAGTTTGAGTACGCCTAGTGAAGCCAAACCAAAATTATTAATAGGCTAACAGCTTACACTATGAGCCTGTTACATTAGGGTTTAACACTCTAGGCCAGATGAAAATGAGGCTTTATTTTAACGTTTTTTCTTCTACAACCACAGGAGCCAATTTGTGGCTATTTCCTACCGTTATCTTTAGTATAACATTTCATTTATTAATTTCTATCCGCTTGATCGTTATAGAATCATAGACGATGCATAACTGGATTCAAAAAGATGGTCCTTGCTGAATATTATGTGGAAGAGCAAAATCAGCGTTGCAGTTAATGTCAATATATAAACCTCACTGGTATTGTCTATTTTCTTATACGGATGTGAGAGTTAGACTCTCAATGTGGAAATGGAAAGGGGGATTTCGACTTTGGAAAGTAAATTTCATAGACGCCTTTTACGAATTAATTCTTTATAAAATAAAACTAATAAACATGTCAGAGACAAAATATACAAATTTGGGCGACGCCAGGAGCCTCTCTTAGCAGTGGTGAAACTTCGCAAGCTAGCTTGGTTCGAGCACGTGGCGAGACATGATTCAAATGCAAAACTGTACTTCAAGGAGGGTAATCTAAAGAGAGGCAGAAAGAAAAAGAAACTGGAATGATAACATCAAAAAATGGACAAGACTGCGTTACGATACACTTATTCGTCAAGCGGAAGACAGAGAAAGATTGCAGGTTTCTTGTGCTAGTGCTTGCATCGACACACCTCCACGACCCTAACGGGTCAAGGGAAATGTTACATTATATAAGTGAGAATTTCACCAGCTGTAAGCTTGCTTCATGTATCCAAGGGAAAATAGTCTCAAAATATTGAACATTCTCGTCTTGCCAGGGATGACCTGCCAGCCACCAGTGTTACAGGAAGGAGTGATAGTAGAGAGACAGTACAAGGAAGCCAAACGTTTTATATACTTTGATCTTGGTGTTGCGAGACAGAGAGGTTGAAGATCATACAATTCTTTATTTCCAGATTGTTTATTAGATGTTGGAGCAGTTGAAGTTTGCACCCAAATACTTATATGTTTTCATTTGTGTGATTTTCATATTAACGACTTGTATATGACCGGAGTTTATATCTTTTTCCTGGCTTCATTATTATGTATTCTGTCTTTTTTTGATTGATAAAAAATCCCATTTTGTGAGCTGCTTCTGTTAAGAGAGTCAGTGTTTTTGCAGTCTCTAGTTCATTTTCTCAAACAATATCAATGCCATCTGCATAACCAAGTATTCTTGAATTTTCTTCTATAGTACACTCTTGTTTTAAATTCCTTCTAATTTCTCTATGTCCAACAGAAGGGGGGCGGAGCAACATCTTGCTTTAAACCAGATGTTTGTTTTTTGTTTTGAAAAAGGTAAAACTTTCTGTCTTTACATATTACTATATTACAATTGTCTTCCATACATACTTTGGTCCCGGTGATTGACTTTTTTTGTATTCCAAAGTTATTCATAGCATTCCATAAACTGTTTCTAATGTGCACGATCATGCACCTTTTTTCAAATCCACAAAAACAATATGTATATCTCTTCCATATTCTCAGTTTTGCTCTGCTATTTGCCATAAAATGAATATCTGGTCTATTGTGGATCTGTTCTGTCGGAAACCCGTGTGGTAATCTCAAAATATGTCTTCGACGTATGGTTTTAGCCGTTCAGAAGTACCGCCGATAGTATCTCGTAGCTTGTAGATAAAAGTGATATTCCTCTATAATTTTCACATTTATGCTTGTCTTCTTTCTTAAAAATGGGTAATATCAGTGACATTTTCCATTTGTGGGGTAATTTCTCGGTCTTCCAAACAAATTTATTAATTCAATATCTTTACAGGTAATGCATGGTCACCTTCTTTGTTTAAGGTTAGCAGCAGTAGCTTCATTGTTTTTAAGCCTTTTATGACACACAGCACTTCACCAAAATCAGGCTCTTTAATTTTTGGTTCACAGGTTAGTATCTCGTCCTGTGGTTAAGTATTCAGATGAGTTCCACAGTGAGTTGAGTTGAGTTGAGTCAAGAATTGACATCACTGCACTCGGGACATTCCCATGTATGCTCCGTCCTCATCTTCAGCAGCCAGCGTAGTTCTAAAACGGATGGTAGCAGTCACAATCTGGTTAAAAGTCCGTCTTGCCTTGCCTCTGAGTGTAGTGAGCAATCGGGCCCTCTGGTTACACCCAGGTGACTCATTCTCTCCAGGACAAGTATTAATAATCTTTCTCTACTGACTCCGTTGCTTGTTCCCAACGGGCCTTGACCACATCTGCCTTGTCATGTATCAATTCACTACCCAGTCTGTCTTCTGTTCATTACTGACCACGCCGGCATGGCCTGGAGAAAAAAATCCAAAGTATGCTCACAATTTAACATTTTAGTAAAGTATTTTTTCCATCTGCTACATATTTCTCTATTATTGTTCCCACTCTGATCTTTTTAACTACGTATGCTGTGTTGATGCCTTCGTTTTACAGCTTTCAGGGCTTTATAAAATTTCTGGATGCATTGTTCTCATAGTTAGCTTCTATATCCATGACATTGTTGTTCATGTTTTCCGGCTTTTGCTGCCTAACTACTTTTATAGCTTCTTTACATTCTGTTCTATATTTTTCTTGATTGTGTATGTAACTAGTACCATTAGCTATATTTGCCTGGCAGTTTTTTTCTTACTGACTTCTTCTTCGCATTTTTTATCGAACCGTCTGTTCTTTTGTTTAAGGTGGACACATCAAGACATTCTTTTGCAGTGGTTTGAATTATATTCTAACTATCCTTTCATGTTTAGTCAAAATCTTTCTGTGATAGATTTTGTAAAATTTCAGTTTTATATTTTAATTCATCTGTATATTTCTCTGATAGGGATGTTTCTTGTAATCTTTCTCTAATGTACTCTGGATGGGATCTGTGCAACTTGGTGAAGAAGGATCTTTTAAGCTTGATTTTTAATTGTGTCCCAATGAGGTAGTGGTCACCACGACACTCAGCTCTCCTGTAGCTTCTAACTTGGTGTATGTTTGATGCATTTATATTTTTTTAATAAAAATAGGATCTATTTGAAATTATGTTGTCTTTTCACGTGATTGGCAGGTTTTTTTTTAAGGCTTTCCTTTGAAATCTGGTGCTGCTTAAGTGTAGTCCTTTGCTACGGCGAGGTTGATTAATTTCCATCCATTATCGTTTGAATTTGTATGTAGCCTTTCCATGCCTGCTTTATTTTAACAAATGTTTTCCTATTTTTGCATTAAAATCTCCTAAGACCATCGATATGTTCCGTTTTTGAGTTTCCTCTGATATTCTCAAAGAGATCATATACATCTTTGTTAATCTTATCTTTTTCAGCTTCAGTGGATGGATGTACATTAATCATCGCGATATTTTTCTATTTTCTTTTTATTCGTAACTTACTGATTCTATTACCAATAGCTTCAAAATGTATAATTCCCACGGCTTTTTTTTTCCTTGACAAATACTGTCGCTAGTTCATGCTTGTTTTAAGTGTTTCCTCCATATACTATGATAATTCCATTTTCATTTATGGTAGCCTGTCCTGGCCAACTTATTTCTTAAATTGATGTTATGTCCATTCTGTATTCTGATAACTCACGGGTCGGTTCTTCAGCTGCTCCAGCTATATAAAGGGTTCATGCATTCCATGTTCCAAATCTCAAAAGTTCTTTAACGATCCAGTTTCGTTGTTCGTTTAAATCCATCCGGAATCAAGGCTTGGTAGATCAAGAAGACGATAGAGAGGTATGTCCAGAGAGACCTGCAAACACTTGCTGTTACCGACTGGAAAAAAGAAGGTCAACCAGAGAGATGAATAGAGTCGGGTGATATCTGTAGCAATAAACCTCAAGAGCTCGTAATTCTAAAGAAAAAGTTTACATGCATATGTATAAATGTATGTATGTGTGCATTGCTATGGCTATATCCGTCTTTCTGACCGTCTATCTCTCTATCTGTCCGTTCGTCTACCAATCTATCTTATCTATATGTCTGTCTTTCGAAAGAAGTGTAAAGAGTTTCTCTAAAACAGCAAATGTCTGTATATACAACGCAACGCTGTGTACTCCAAAACACACCTTTCACCCTAGTTACAATACCTAAGTACACAATCATTTTTTTTCCATAGTTAATTCGTTTCTCACTTGCACTTTTAACCTTATATGAGAGGGGTTAAAAAGCAGCATGGTAGCTATCGCGACATTCGCATAACCGCTCCGATCCCATCTTTAACAGTCAGAAAATAGTTTTTAGTCTAGAATCTAATCACAATCTACATTCTTCAATCACTTTCCCCTAAAGGACTCTGGTCTAGCTTGTCATTGCGTCAATTCACTCTCTAGTGGCGCCAGAACCAGCCTATGTATCTCTCTGTTCATTTCCAAACATACCCGCATTCCCTGCAGAAAAGAGCCGAAGGACGCTAACTGCCTGAGACCTCTGAAGATATGCTTGCCACTCATTATGATATGTCTGTGCTATACATCTCGGCAAAAATACTTCCCCTTTCTCACTGTTTTCATGGGCTTACGGTATATCGTGATTTTGTGGTATATATATATATATATATATATATATATATATATATATATATATATATATATATATATATATATATATATATATATATATATATATGGCACTCTTAGTCTTCCTCTTCAGCACACTTTATCCGTAAATGAATGCCTATTTTTGAGAAGGACTCGCGCGTCAGAACTACAGTCTCACACATTCAAGAAGAACAAGCTGGTTTTCGAACTGAATGAAATTGTCTGCATCAAACAATTGCACTGAGACATGTTCTAGAAGAACACATAGAGAAGCAACAATCTTTCATCCTCACTGTTACTGACTTCAAGAAGACGTTTGACCGCTTACATAAATTTCATAATGGTGAATTTCTAATGTTTTAGCATTCCACGTAATATTTCGTAATTCCACGTAATTAGTTGCGTATCCTTTACAAGATGTTGCAGTACCAACCCCAGCACTTTCTGGCTGTTGAGGTTTTTCTAGGCAAATTTACGTCCAGTTTTTTGCCATTGCTTTCTGGCCGGTCGGCTTTCGGTACCACGGTCGAAACCATAGCAAGACAAACCGTCCGCAGCAGGGATCGAACCCGGCACCCCTACATTATGACCACATAATATAGTACACATTAATATAAATGTATAGGATAGTTAAGACTGTGCAGAGCGCGCTGAAAATGATCTAAGCTACTGGGTTGTAATGGAAACTGAAGTGAAACAAGACTACTTTTTTTATCTCCCCTGTTGCTTGAAGTGGCTATTGATTGGATAATGACAAAAATGTTGCAAAGGCAATACTGGCACTAATTTGGTAGAGAATAGACAACTGGCAGATCTAGATTTCGCAGATGATTTTGTTCTGTTACGTAAAAAAAAAAAAAAAAAACTGTTTTAAATCATTTCTCGTCTACAGCATCAAAAACAGGACTACAAATAAGTTATGAGAAAACAAATGTATTGAAGATTCCAATAGCAGATCGAGTAAATTTTATGCAAGTTAATAAATCGATAAAACTGACTGACCATTTCACCTATTTGGGTAGAAATTTTGACTTTCAGCGAGATAGATACAGCAAAGGAAATTATGAGACGTATTGGCAAAGCAGCAAGTCTTTAAAAGACTCAACAAAATATAGGGCTCCAAGTTATACAGATTTAAGACAAGACTACAAATCTTAAATTCTAACGATATTTCAGTTCTAACATACGGCAGCGAAAGTTGGACAACCATCAAATACATGATACTGAAGTTAAACGCACTTGAAAATAAATGTTTGTGAAAAATCATGAACATAATGTGAGATGAATTCAAGAAGATTAAAGAAATCAGAGAAATGAGTGGACAATTACCTGTATCGACCGCAATGTGACAAAGAAGGTGAAAATTGCATGCAATAGAGTGGGGTGGGGGAATAAAATACGAGCCCATATTTGGTTAAATAGTACTAGCACTTGGTGGATTGTTTGTTGTCTTATCTGCTTCCTTGACCATTTGTGCTAAAACATTATCATCACCCGCCGTCTTGTTATTTGTTAGGAAATGTATTGCCTTTCTCATTTACTTAACATTATTCTGCCCCTCATTTATGAGAAGATTGGTCCTTTTTGTCTCTTTTTCAAATGTCATTAGGTCTTGTGGGTCAGGCCCGTTTAAAGTCTCATTGAAATGGTCTGCCCATCTTTTCCTGTTCCTCTTCTCAGATGGGAACAGTGTGCCCTTATGCTTATGACTGGACCACTACGGGGTTGGAATATTAGTTAGTTGTTTTAATGTATTGTAAAGTATGTTGCTGTTTTCGGCTTTGGCTGCTCGTTCCCCTTCTTCAGCCAGTTTACTGAAAAATAGTGAACAGAAAATTGGTCTCGGTTAAATCCAGAAACATGCACAGCCTGGGTTTAAACAACTATGCTTAACATTTTATACTTTTTTCTAAAAAACAGAAGCCGTAACATTGGATTGCGACTTTGAAAACGATAATTTATGTGGGTGGAATCAAGACAACACGGATGATTTTGACTGGACATGGCACAGCGGGGAAACGCCCACAGCTAATACTGGACCACGGTTCGATCACACAACAAATTCTTCAGAAGGTATGTCAGTAAAACAATATATTTTTTAGGTTATTATCACATTTCCAAGCCTATCTAGGCTTACTCCGTTCTTTATACACTTCGCAAGTTTAAACTGATGCTTTATCAGCTCAAGCCACTTCTGTTTAAATTTTATGACACACATTTACGACCTCAGAACGTCGAGACCTCACACTCCCGTCACCCGACCTCTACATTTTGTTGAGCTTTTTAGTTAAATTTCTCTGGAATTCCTTGTATTAGCTTGACTGCAGTCACCCCCATATTTACACCATTTTTTAATTCCTGAAGCACGATAATATGAAAGTCCTAAATCAGCCTCTCCAGCACAGGTTCTTTCTGCATTGCACTACGACACTTGCATTAACCCACTCTAATATGTTTTAATCCCAGACGATCCGTTTTTCGCCTCTCTCCTTGCTGCTGCTCTCCTATTTGTATGCCTTATGTTCTTTCCACACCCCCCTCCCCCACACTTTTCTTATTTTCCCAATTTCTCTGTTGTCAGCTGAAGGTGGTATGAAATACAGAACACGTACTCCGTAGCTCTCATGATGTTTCTTTTCATATACAAGTACACAATACGTGGAAAATATTATTTAAATGGTCAGCCTAGTACTGCCTGCTTGCTAGGGAAGAGGCTTGGGATGTCCTGGAGTATTCCATCACCAGACCATGCCCCTCCCGCTAACCAAAACTGCAACGTCTATCACTGCAGTGGCCACAGCCATTCAGCCATAGACACGTAGGTCCACCACAGGCTTTTTTTTTTTTTTTTTGTAAAATTGAGGTTGCCTCCTTTAGATTCCTTTGGGCCACGCCCAACTGTCTTGACTGTAGAACTGTTTTCTTGGTCTAGAGACTTGCGACCTTTGCGTGTCCCTTTCACCTTATACGTGCTAGACCAAGCTTCCAAGGAGGGACATCTGGTGGCCTGAGAGGTCACACATCCACGGCCCTAGATCTCTCTAAGTGGGAGGACAACGTCAAGAGAAGGATGAACTGCAGTCTGAGAGTGTACAACCAGGATAAGTGACAGAGCGTGTTGGAGATCCATTGCAGCCAACACTTATTGGAAAGACAGTACTGGATATACTGATTTTTTTTTTTTTTTTTTTTTTCTGCAGTTAGAAAATGTGTCACATTTTAGACTTGCATATACTTTGCCTGTAAATTATTATATGGTTTTCTTTTTTTTTCTTTCAGGACACTATTTATTCATGGAGTCATCGGCCCCACAGAAAACCGGACAAAGAAGTAGACTTATCTCCCCACCTCATGTTTCCATTAGCCCAGGGACCATGTGTCTGGAGTTTTTCTACCATATGTTTGGTCCAGATGGCATAGGAGGTATGACACTGACAATTTACAACCAAATTAAATCATTAACAGAGATCAGTTTGTAAATAATAGAAATATTGAATTAGGTAGACAACTGGCTTTGTCATAATGTAATGGCTTATAATTTAAAAAAAACGGGGAAAAACGACTGCATGTGGTAGGGACGTGTTTAGGCTGGAGGGGAAGGGTTGGTAGCTACTACCTATAAATAAGTGTGCGTGGAAGGGGGTAAATTAATAAAATTATTATATAATTAAATATAGACGAGACTGAAAGTAGACTCCCTGTAATTATTACAGTAACACTGAGAACATAAATATAGACATGACATTAATGACTGCATTTTCTGGATTACATCACGACACTGGACATTTCAGTGCGTGGTCTAATTTCATCTTCAGTTATCCAACAATGAGCACACTGACCTGATTAAATGTCCTGCTATCTTTTCCCCTGTGTGTCGCGTGTAGTCCCTAGCTGCCGAATCTTTCTGAACAGACATGCACGCTGGGTTTGTAGGATTATCTTCCTAATTCCAGAGAGCATTCTAAACATAACATAACAAAACCATTAACCTGATAAGATCGTGGTGGAGCTGTATTGATGGAAGCACTAGCACATAATCCCCCCCCCCCTCCCTCCCTCCCTACCATCAATAGAGCATTCATATAATTTCCATATCATAAAACAGCTATCTTGGTGTGGGCCAATCTGTAAGTCTGTTCACAGTCCTGTACACACATGGTTTTGTACACACATTGTTTTGTACACACATTGTTTTGTACACACATTGGTCTGTACACACAAAAACCATGGCATCTAGTACAAACCACATTGTGAACACATTTACTTCACGTTGAACATGACTACCCTCAACCACAAGAAAACTGATGTCACATTGTCACTGTCATTCTGAAATAATTCATCGACATCATGGGCCAGATTTTTGCCAGATTTGCCTTTTATCTTAGGATCGCTCCTTCTTTTATCATTTTAGTAGGGATCAGCAATTCTTCTAGGTTTTCTTGTCATTTACCTGGGGGTGGGGAGGGGGGGGGGGTGAAGATGTTTTGCTATAGGTGAGGGCTCGACGAAAACTTATTATAAATATCAGAAAAAGAAAGATAGTTATCCCTTTTTAGTCGTGTAAGGAGAAGAATAAAAATGGAACATGATGTAACTACTGGAAACATCTGAGAAAAATGACAGAGAGGAAGACAACGCGAGGTGATTTCTGACAGTTTTTTATCATGGCATTGAGGGATTTCAGCTAATGAACTAATATAAGCTTCTAAAGATGGCAGATTGGGTAGAGACAGGAGCGCAAACGAAAGTCGGCAAGGCTTTTGATGTTGGCCCATCCTCATATTTAACTAGCCAACACTCTCTAAATCACAGGTCCGATACCGAAGACATGATTTCTAGCAGGTGTATAACATCTTCATTGCAGAAGTAGGCGACTTGGACGTCTACATTAGACCTCAGAGTGTTGACAACACGTCCCTAGCACCAGGCAACAACGTCTTTCATCGCAGCGGTAACCAAGGCGATCGCTGGATACATGCACAGGTGGAATTACCACAGCAAACAGACATTTTTAATGTGAGGCTAACTCTGTCTGTCTGTGAGTCAGTCTGTCTAATTGTATGTCTAATTATCAGACAATTAGGTAATGAGACTGATTTTATTATGGCTTAGAGAAAAATACCATCTATGAATCAAAGCATAGAATCTAAAGAGGCAACATTCATATATGATCTAGCAACTTTTCAATGCCGCTCCATAAACAGACAACATTTTGTTGACCCAGTCAGAGGTGCATTATTACAAAATCAGCGTGGAGCAAAAAACTAACATTAAATTCTTTTTAAAACTCAGAAAAAGCGCGATTGAAACAGTTGAATTAATGCAACAAGTTTATGGGGATAATTGATTATCTCGCGCGCACATTTTCAGTTGGTATTCACGATCCAAAAATGGTCTGGAAATGATTACTGATGCACCTAGACTTGGACTCCAAATTTATGTTCCTAATGATGAACTCATTGCAAAATTTAGAGAACGCATACAAAAAGATCATTGTTTTACTGTGAGGATGATGGCAGATGAAACTGGTGGTAATGGAGAGACCATTCATAACATTTTAGTGCAAGATTTTGGTCCCCAAAAATTTTGCTTGCCGGTTTGTACCACATTCGTTGTGTGATGATCAAAAACATCAGCGGGTTGAGAAACCGGGAGAAATCATCAAAACACGAATTGTTAGCCAAAAACAAGTCTGTTCTCAGTCTTCCACCCTATTCAGCAGATTTGTCTCTCTGTGATTATTTTATATTCCCAAAATTAAAGTTACAATTGAAAGGACGCTTCTTTAACGATACTAATGGCACCCAAAGGGCCGTAACATCGACTTTAAGGGTCATAACAACAGAAGAACTACAGAGGTCGTTCCCATGTTTGTTAGATCGTGCCACTTGCTGTATCAATGCACAAGGGGCTTACTTTGAATCGGATACAGGTTATATCTTCAACTGTTGATTATTTCAATTGTTATGGAATTAGTCTCATTACTTAACTGTCGGACCTTGTATATCTACTTGCAAACTGGAAACCTGCACCTGCTGCAGGAAATATGTACTGGGCTTTTGTGGGAATAGCCTCAGTGCATTGAATCTGATACTCACGGTTCTGGAGGACCCGGTGAAGATCCTCGGCAGCGTCTACGATTCGACGTTATATCTGATAGAGCGGAAGTCCGGCGTATAAACGAGTCACTGGTTACAGGCTTGATCGCGATCGAGCGATGCAGGTTGATCGGAAAGTTCAAGATCTGGTGTCCCCAGTTCATGTCGATTCCAAAGCTCCTCTGGCCGCTACTCCTGTACGAGGTGCGCATGACGACAGTGGAAACGATGGAGAAAAAAATCAACACAGCCATGAGGAAGTGGCTTGGGACACTGCCTTGTCTGACTGATGTGGCTCTGTTTTGTAAACAGGCTAAGTTGGTACTTCCGTTCAAGTCAAAAATCAAAGAGTTTCAATCGACAATGCTGCACAAGTTTTGAGACCCTACAGCTGTCCAGCCCGCTCTAAAAACAGATAAGAAATGGAAAGTCCCAAATGCGATAGAATCTGCTCAGGGAGCACTGAAATTGATGGAGGTTAGGGGGTACACACAAACCCACCAACGTGGCCTAGGACACGGGAAAGTCAATTTGTGGTCTAAAACCACAGCCAGAGAGCGCAGAGACCTGGTAATACAGCAGATAAGGGATGTCGAAAACGAGACTCGGGTCCAAAAAGCCGCTATGCATGCTCCCGTGTGGAAGTCTTTATTTTATTGTTAATACAAGTGTACCCGTATCACGCTCGATAACTTGTACTAGTTGAAGATGTAAGCAGGACAGCAAATTATATTCCTTATGAACTGTTGCTAAAGTTGGCAGTGTTGCTCGCCTTATATCTTCATTATTTTTGACGTATCGCACCTTTGTTTAAATGTTTCGCTCTTTCCAGTTTTGAACTTCTTCCTTTTTAGAAAAAAAAATATTTTTAGAAGTTAAGCCACTAGGGTTGTCTGCATTGGAACGATATGTTGTTTCAAGTCCTGTATCGCTTATACATGCAGTTCTTGTTCTTTACAAGCTTGAAAAATGCCATGCCCCCAGTGCTTCATTAAAAACATTTTATATATATATATATATATATATATATATATATATATATATATATATATATATATATATATATATATATATATATATATATATATAAAAACAAAGCCTTCCACTATCGTTACTGTTGCTGGGCATTTTAAAACTGATTACTTCTGAACACCTGTGAAATGATGTAGTAATAACAGTTAGAGCATTGTTTCCAAGCGTCTGTGTGGGCGCCCGCCAATGTTTGTACGCATTCCTGGACAGTCGAATTAAATACATTAAATTAAAAAAAATTTGCTGTGGGATTACTGACTGACATAACGTATATGGTTTAACCACCCCCTCCCCTCCCCACCCCCCTCAATAGCTCTTCCAACCCTCGCACCCTCGCACCCCCACCTTCCCCCAACCCCCTCCAAAAAAATATACAATCATTCGTTGTCTATTGTTTTAATTTGTCTCAATGTCTAAAATATTGTGAGTTTATCAAGGTGCATTATAAATTAAAAAAAAAAAAAAAAATGTATGTATGCTCACCATGTGTCTATTTGCAGATTGTTTTACAAGGCACACGACTTAAAAGCTGGTCGGGGGATATAGCAGTAGACGACATCAGAGTCTATCCGTGTTCAGCAAGTAAGTCTCATATACATAAAGTTCTCTAAACCAGACAAAAGGTATTCTCCTATTCTTAGAAAATTTTTAATATATTCTAATAATCTTGGCAGCTTCTGCCAGCTTCTTGTTTACCACCAGCACCTCCAGTGGTTGTCGACAGAATGTGTCTAGCCTGACATTTAACCGTGACATGGTAAACAACAGCCCAGAATCTCCTCACGCTGTTTTCCAAAAATAATACCTCCATTAACTCTTTGTTAAAGGTCCTTTTAAAGAAGAAACTTGCAGCTCTACCAAATTAACTAAACCTTGTTACTTCCGACCCACTTATAATAGAAAATAGAACATAAGACATTATGGTACTTAGTGTGCTGATCAACACAGACAGGTCCGTTGCATGGTCTTTCAGTGCCTGCCCTACTGTCCAGAAAGCCAGTGGTACCTCCTATGTAACTACCAGCAGCATGATGATGAAGGTGACGGTGGTGGAACAAGCTTTGATTTGGCTGGAGGTACAGGACAACTTTCCACGTGTGCGGAGTAATTTTAACTTAACAAACAGTTATATATGAGATAGTTATTGATACGTTTTTTGTAATACTCATTACGATTAAAGTATTATTAATTCAGGAACTTTCTCGTCAACTAATTCAAGTGTCTTGTGTAGTCTATTAATGTAATTTTTGTTATTATATTTTAATTATGTAGATCTAGAACCCTTTGGCTTAGTACTATAGATATTGTAACCCTTTGGACTTGATTCCATGATAGATACCGTGAATCTGGAAAATATGTGGCTTTTCTGCCTACCCCCGGTTGCGAACTCGTACCACAGGGAGTGTGTCACCTTGTCGCCACAAAGCTAGTTTAACCAACTTAGCTAACGCACTGAGCATCACAATAAATAAGTAAAAAGGGACTATTTTCACAACACTTTTATATAGGGCATCTGGCTTTTACACATGTTTACAGACATCCCCTGGTCCACCTTTGCTTCCAAGGACATTTTCTGGTGCCAGTTTCGGTAAATAAAGACATTGATGAGAGACTACGGTTCGGTTAAAGCCTTTCGGGGTGATAGCCAAGTCTGTAGTCCAAACGGAACGCGTGCCCCAGAAGCTTAACAAGACCAATTAAATACAGTTTAAATATTGTTAAATATTTATCTTTTAGTTTTCTTAAAAGAAATACAAGTTCCACACCCTTCTATTCTTTTGAAAAGCATTTTCTTGTATTAGAAAGCAGCGCCATTTTTTTTTTAATGTTTTCCTCCCAAAGTCTTATTTTCAGTGTATCACTCACTAATGACGCTATTATCAAATCCACGGCCGCCTCTGTTTATTATCAATAGCTCTAGAAGGGCGTGATCAAATCTGATCAGGCTGTTTAAGGTGTCACTTTAGTGCAGTGTTACAAACGGTCGCTTTCGTGTCTTGTACTTAAAACACTTTTATTTTTACTACCAATGGTTAGTTATTTAGTTAGATAGTTAATTAGTTGGTTAGTTAGTCAGTTAGTTAGTTAGTTAGTTAGTTAGTTAGTTAGTTAGTTAGTTAGTTAGTTAGTTAGTTAGTTAGTTAGTTAGTTAGTTAGTTAGTTAGTTTAGGGTTAGTTATTAGTTAGTTTAGTTATTTTTCGGGTAGTTCGTTAGTTAGTTGTTAGTTAGTTAGTTAGTAGTTAGTTAGTTAGTTAGTAGTTAGGTTAGTTAGTTAGTTTATTTGGTTAGTTTAGTTGTTAGTTAGTTAGTAGTAGGGTTAGTTAGTTAGTTAGTTAGGTTAGTTAGTTAGTTAGTTGGTGGTTAGTTAGTTAGTAGTTAGTTAGTTAGTTAGTTAGGTAGTTTAGTTAGTTAGTTATTTAGTTAGGGTTTAGTTAGTTAGTTAGTAGTTAGTTTAGTTTAGTTAGTTAGTTAGTTAGTTTAGTTGGTTTGTTAGTTAGTTAGTTAGTTCGGTTAGGTTAGTTAGTAGTAGTTAGTTAGTTAGTTAGGGTGAGTTAGTTAGTTAGTTAGTTAGGTTTAGTGGTTAGTTAGTTTAGTTAGTTAGTTCTTAGTTTAGTTAGTTAGTTAGGGTTAGGTTTAGGTTAGTTTAGTTAGGTTAGTTCTTTTCGTTAGTTTTTTCGTTAGTTAGTTTAGTTAGTTCGTTCGTTCGTTAGTTTTAGTTAGTTTAGTTAGTTAGTTTAGTTAGTTAGTTAGTTAGTTCGTTAGTTAGTTAGTTAGTTAGTTTAGTTAGTTAGTTAGTTAGTTAGTTAGTTAGTATAGTTTTTAGTTAGTTAGTTAGTTTAGTTAGGGTTAGTTAGTTAGTTAGTTAGTTGGTTAGTTACTTAGGTTAGTTAGTTTAGTTTTAGGTTTAGTTAGTTAGTTAGTAGTTAGTTAGGTAGTTAGTAAAGTTAGTTTAGTTAGTTAGTTTAGTAGTTTAGTTTAGTTAGTTAGTTTTATTAGTTAGTTAGTTTACGTTAGTTAAGGTTAGTTAGTTAGCTAGTTAGTTAGTTTATTAGTTAGTTAGTTAGTAGTGTTGTTAGTTTAGTTAGTTAGTTAGTTAGTTGGTTTTTTAGTAGTTTAGTTTAGTTAGTTTAGTTAGTTAGTTAGTTAGTTTAGTTAGTTAGTTAGTTTTTTTTATTAGTTAGTTATTTAGTTAGTTTAGTTAGTTAGGTTTAGTTAGTTAGTCAGTTAGTTAGTTTAGTTAGTTGTTAGTTAGTTAGTTAGTTAGTTTCTAGTTAGTTAGGGTTAGTTAGTAGTTAGTTAGGGTTAGTTAGGTTAGGGTTAGTTAGTTTGGTTAGTTAGTTAGTTAGTTAGGTTAGTTAGTTAGTTAGGGTTAGTTAGTTAGTTAGGGTTAGTTAGTTAGTTAGTTAGGGTTAGTTAGGGTTAGGGTTAGGGTTAGTTAGGTAGTTAGTTAGGGTAGGGGTTGTTAGTTAGTTAGTTAGTTTATTAGTTAGTTTTGTTAGTTAGTTAGTTAGTTAGTCAGTGTGTTTGGTGTGCGTCTCGTTTTTTGCTATACCGATCTCAATTCCCAAATCTGCCGTTCTGCCGAGTGATGTGGATTTACTGCCCCCAAAGTCCTCTATCCTTTCCATTTCTCTGAGGGCAAATGGTAATACACGTTATGAGAAGTAGAATTTGATGCATATTAACGCAATAAATTACATTTAGTTTTCTTCTGACATTCTTCTGTATTTCATTAATGCCAAGGTGAACGGTACTAACAACATAATACTGATCATATACTTTGCAGACACCTACCAAGATTTTAAAAGCTCCTTTTTTGTGGTTTAACATAATTTGCTGAAACACATGTCACTACTGTCTGTGTTACCATTATTTAGGGCGATGTAGACAGGAGGCCTTGAGGATGGGGATTTAGGGCCGCCTGGCTAGTTCTGTTGCCACGGACTGTGCAGGTTAGAATGTTTAATTTTCTCCCCGATTAAAAAAAAGCATAATCTTATCAGGGGTTGAACCTGTGTCTCCTGCATGAGACCCGATGTTCTAACCGCGCGGCCTGCTGCTCCTATGTATAGTTTGTAAAGAGTGTTAATGACAAAGTAATAGTTGTAATTTTTCACCATCCTTTTTTATGTTGTCTATTTGGTTGACCCACTCTATTCTCATCAGATTTGACGACAACCAGAGGGTCAGCTGATGTGGACTTCACCACGCAGTCTGTTGACTCTGATAACAACTCTATTGATGAGTCCCCGCGGTCAACAAAAATCGTAAACATGATATCCCCGACAATAGCTCCTTCTGTGACCACAGTTAAGAAAACAAGACCTGTAAAGCCGACACTAAAATCAAGTGTTACTCGAACAACAAAGGTCGTGCCAACAGCAGCACAAACAGTCAATCGTGCTAGTAAACAATCAACGAGACTGTTTACACCCACTCCACTGATGTCATCTACATACAAAAGTATCAATCGTGACGTCACTGCTACTTCAATAGTCCCATCTGATAGGCAACAGCAGAGTGGACAGCAACAGCCTGCCACAAATAAGACCACAGGCGTCTTCCTCTCGACTGGTGTTACTTTTAGCAGAAACATCACCAGTGGCCAACACGGTGAAAACGAAAGCAATGATGAGAATGATAGAGATAATTACTTCACACAGATAAACCATGCAAAAACAGGCTTATTCACAAACAATGACTACGACTCTAACACTAAAAACTCTGATTTTAGCTCGAGTACAAATAAATCAGTTGGTAAAAATGACTCAAAAACACCGTTCACTGACTCAGAAGATGCTACGGATGTTTCGTCTGAAGAATTCCAAGTCGACGGATTCATGGATGAAACGGCGGATATTATCGATAAGTCTTCGTCTCCAAGTTCAGTAGCGTTAATACCACTGATTGTTGGTATCGTGGCTTCTTTAGTGGTCGGCGTTGCTGTAACTGTAATTATGGCATGCATCTGGGTTCGAAATCAAAGGACAAAACATGATAAACACCAGGAAGATCAAATGAATATCATGAGTGACTATATTGAAACAAATTTGTGCACATAATGGTATTTGAATAACACCTCTGCTAATATTTCACTTCCACATTCACTAAACAACATTGTGTTCTCCATGCTACTTTAATAACTACTGCAACTGCTTCTGTTAACCACTCCTGCTACAGCTGCTATCGCTACTGCAACTACTTCTGCAACAACCACCAGCACCAATACTACCATTGTTTTTACTACTAATAATGCTGTTAGGCAACACAAGCAACGAGCAACATAGGCAACGAGAAACATAAGCAAAGAGCAACATAAGAAACGAGCAACATAAGCAACGAGCAACATAAGCAACGAGCAACAAAAGCAACGAGCAACATAAGCAACGAGCAACATAAGCTACATAAAATAAGCAACAAGCAACCTAAGCAACGAGCAACATAAGGAACGAGCAACATAACCAACTAGCAACATAAGCAAGGAGCAACATAAGCAACGAGCAACAAAAGCAACGAGCAAAATAACATAAGCAACGAGCAACATAAGCAACGAGCAACATAAGCAACTTGCAACAAAAGTAACAAGCAACATGACATAAGCAACGAGCAACATAAGCAACGAGCACCATAAGCAACGAGCAACATAAGCAACGAGCAACATAAGCAACGAGCAACATAAGCAGCGAGCAACATAAGCAACGAGCAACATAACATCAACAACAAGCAACAAAAGCAACGAGCAACATAAGCAACGAGCAACATAAGCAACGAGCAACATAAGCAACGAGCAACATAAGCAACGAGCACCATAAGCAACGAGCAACATAAGCAACGAGCAACAAAAGCAATGAGCAACATAACATAAGCAACGAGATACATAACATAAGCAACGAGCAACATAAGCAACGAGCAACAAAAGCAACGAGCAACATAAGCAGCGAGCAACATAAGTAACGAGCAACATAAGCAACGAGCAACATAAGCAACGAGCAACATAAGCAACGAGCAGCATAAGCAACGAGCAACATAAGGAACGAGCAACATAACCAACTAGCAACATAAGCAAGGAGCAACATAAGCAACGAGAAACAAAAGCAACGAGCTACATAACATAAGCAACGAGCAACATAAGCAACCAGCAACATAAGCAACTTGCAACAAAAGTAACAAGCAACATGACATAAGCAACGAGCAACATAAGCAACGAGCACCATAAGCAACGAGCAACATAAGCAACGAGCAACATAAGCAACGAGCAACATAAGCAGCGAGCAACATAAGCAACGAGCAACATAAGCAACATAACATCAACAACAAGCAACAAAAGCAACGAGCAACATAAGCAACGAGCAACATAAGCAACGAGCAACATAAGCAACGAGCAACATAAGCAACGAGCAGCAAAAGCAATGAGCAACATAACATAAGCAACGAGATACATAAGATAAGCAACGAGCAACATAAGCAAAGAGCAACATAAGCAACGAGCAACAAAAGCAACGAGCAATATAACAAAAGCAACGAGCAACATAACATAAGCAACGAGCAACATAAGCAATTAGCAACATAAGCAACGAGCAACATAAGCCAACATAAGCAACGAGCAACATAAGCAACGAGCAACATAAGCAACATAACGTAAGCAACGAGCAACAAAAGCAACGTGCAACATAACATAAGCAACTAGCAACATAAGCAGCGAGCAACATATCAGCGACCAACATAAGCAACGAGCAACATAAGCAACATAACATAAGCAACGAGCAACAAAAGCAACGTGCAACATAACATAAGCAGCGAGCAACATAAGCAACAAACAACATAAGCAACGAGCAACATAAGCAACGAACAACATAAGCAGCGAGCAACATAAGCAACGAGCACCATAAGCAACAAAGGCAACGAGCAACATTAGCAATGAGCAACATAAGCAATGAGCAACATAAGCAACGAGCAACATATGCAAGGAGCAACATAAGCAATGAGCAACATAAGCAACGAGCAACATAAGAAACTACTGTTGATATGATAATTTAAAACTGCTAGATCTGCTTCTAGTACTGTTGCTGCTGCTGCTGCTGCTTCTAGGTAGACAAAAATATAAAGAACACGATGGCATTATACACAAAAGGAGTCTACTGACCATTAGTAGAGATCCCTCTTCACGTGTTCCGGCCCCTAACCTCTAAACGCGTTCTTTGTAAAGACCGACCCGGTCATGACATGCAGACCTGGGAGCTTTGTCACTGAGCTTGCGACTCTTACAGACAACACGAGAAATGTTTATTGATGAATGCTACTAGTGCGTGCAGACTAGTGACCATGCACTATCGAAGACGGCCTTGACCCTGTTGGCCTGGAGTGAGCCAACTTCTTACCCCAGTCAACTTGTTGCTTACTCAGACCCTGCTGGCAGCTGCGCCCCAGAACTAGCCCGAGAGAAACCAGGTACCAGCTCTCGGCCTTAATTTGTGCCTCAGATTGGGGCGTTTCTTCCCTGTCTTGCTTCAGGCGTATCTGCTGTGCAGCATTCCATGCTACCATATCGGGTTGAGACTGAGAGATTTCAGACTGAGTTTAGTAGACCAGGATGAAAGAATAGCTAGCCTACTTACACGGGGCAGATTAACAGTTGGACGGTTCGGTTGATAAAACATAATGATCGGACAGATATTGATCAGACAGATATTGATCGGACGGATACTGATCGGACAGATATTGATCGGACAGATATTGATCGGACAAACTGTGGCTGTTGAGAGACTTGATAGTTCGTTTCCACATGGAAAATTGCACCAGCTTTAATGTCGTTCTGGCTACTCCAGAGCCATTTCGAGGCTGTTTTCTTTTTTTTTCTTTTTTTAAATGAACTTTTTTTTTAAAAACAAGCGAATCAACGCAGCAAAAGTGTTTTAACATATAACACAGTGTGAATATGTAGGTTAGTTGCGTATCCTTTAAATGACGTTGCAGAACCAACACCAGCATTGAATATTGTGGTTTTTCTAGGCAACTCGACGTCCAGCAGTCTGCAGTTGTTTCCTAGACAGTCGGCTTCTCAATACCACTGTGGAAACCAACGCAATGCACAAAGCCCGCAGCTGGGATCGAACCCGGCACGCCTGCATTATGAAGTGCGCGCGCAACGTCTTAGCCACAGACGCCGACAATGTGGATATGATAAATGTAAATGAGGAAATATGAACTGATATACAGAATACTTTGTTGAGTTGTTAAATTGTGAAACTCCAGTCAATATTTTCACACAGCTAGAGATACTAAAATGTGAATCAAATAATAAATGTTTGTCATAATACAGTTTAAAACCAATAAGGCAACTGATGATGGAATTGTTTCTGTGTTTATAAAAGAATTAATACGAATTAATAAAAGAAATTTAGAAGACAACGGAATTTTTTTCTTTAAGGTAAAGAGCAAAGAATTATGTGTGTCTTCTAAAATTATACTCGTCTAAATGTGAAATTTATAGATAAATGTCACTATTGTCTACAACACTGAAGATTCTTTGACGGTGCTGCTAAACAGATTACAACTATAAGCGGAAGTTATATTAGGCGACTAACACGCGGGTGTCCCACATGACATATCAGCAAAAGTTCAGCCTTTCATCTTAAGACAAAAAGTGGAGAAATTTAGAGAATATCAAAAAAGACACTCATAATGTTTCACTGGGTTTTAGAAAGGATATAAACGAACTGTTATTTGCAGACGATCGGTGCCTGTTCTTCAATGAGGGGAGTAGACTGTAAGACCATTTGAACAAAGTTCAACATGCAGACGATATAACATGAATAAATACTACCAAAACTCAAGTAAATCAGGTCCGTAGAATTCCTTGTCTGATACATATAGAGTTAAATTGTACTTGAATGAAACAAGTTAAAGAATATAAATATATAGGAAGAATAATCTCGGAAGGCGGGAAAATAGATCCGGAAAACGAAACTAGCTGCCAACGATCCCGTGCACTTAAATACCAAATGAAACTGTTACTAAGACGTCCAAACATAAATATGTGTGCCAAAAAACATAAATAGCACATTCATATAAACACCGTGCTACTAGTGCAAGACTTGGACGTTATCAAAGGCCAACCTATATAAAATCAACAACTGTGAAATGAGATGACTGAGAAAAGCCGCCAACTCATCAATCCGAAACAAAGTTAGAAATTATATTATCAGACTGTGGGATCAATAACATGCAGCGAATTCTTTGAGAAACAGAAGATCAGATGGTTTGGTCATCTATTAAAACAGCAGCCAGAACAACTACCATCACAGAAGCCAAAAAGATCTGAGGGGAATAAGAGCGAGTGGTCCCTTTGATAATATGAATTGTTGACATAAGGGAGTTTCAGTATAGACACATAGTGACAATAACCATTGCTGCCTGTCAAGCAAACTGTTCCTCCCACGTCACTGAACGGCATAAGTGGAAATTGTTGATGATAATATTAACTCTTTCTGTTCCAGCGAACGTACAGTGTGTTATCAGCTATAATCAATATGTGTCAAAAAAACGAACGGTGCGTTACTTTATACTTTACAGTTGGTTTGAGCATGCTAAAGAAATCTGGATAGATATCCTAACATACAGTCTATTATATGTTGCCTCTTTGAAAGTAATATACTCAGATTGTTTCAATGGTGTCTGTTATCTTTTGAAATACTAAAATCAAAATCTACAGGCACTGAAAGATTTAAAAATGTGCACACGGATAGTTTATGAAATGCTATGCAGGACTTTGGAACTCTAAAGAAAATTTTTTACTTCCCCACATTACGCACAGAAGACACTTATAATATAGCATTATATAAATGCAGAACAGGACACCTTTTTCCATATCATCATCATGTACCTTGCCTCTCCATAATCTGCGATCTCCTGCAGGATGTATCAGTTCGTGTGCCGACACACCTCCATGCCATGCAAAAAGACTGTCAAGAATCTTCTCTCGTTGTCTTCCTCTATCCCTCCTTCCACAGATCTTTCCAATGGTCACAAAATGTTCTATTTTCCCTCTTCTAATAACATGACC